ATTTATCGCAGTTTTCGTGTTTCTGCAAATTTCCATTATATGGGAGGTGGGCGTGGTTATTGCCCAATTATAAATATTTTCAATAGATTTCTTAGCTAGGCCCTAGGCAAGGCTCGTACCAAGTTTGGGAAGCATTGGTGCAGCGACTACTGAGATACAGCGTTTCATTTTAAGTGGGCGGATTTACGCCCGTTTTTTTTTTAACTTCATAATAGTACTATTTTTTAGCAGAATTTGACTTTACATACTAATTGTGAACGATTTGGATCCAATATATACTGAAATATTGTGGTTGTTGCATTTTTTCGAAAATACCGGTATATGGGTTGGGTAACGTACCGAATTTCGTTGAGATATCTCAATTTTTGCTCGAGTTATCGTAAACACGGACGGACGGACGGATAGACATAGCTTAATCGACTTCGTTAAGTGAACAGAGTTAATATACCCTTGTGCAAAAGTGAGCTCGGGTATAAATTACTATCTCATTACTATGATTTAGTTGAATAATTTTTTTTTTTTATGTTTTTATGCAGATTTTTTAAGCTTAAACTGTTTAGTCGTCTGAGGTGATTTCTTTTTTGAAAAAGAATCCTTTAAGATATTTTTTTATTCATGAAAGACTCCATTTTTGGAGGCATTTAAAAATCGGTCCAGCTCACGTAAATTTTAATATTTCTCCGAAATATTTTGGTAGAAGTCTTTAAATATAATAAGTTTTGTTATCCCTGCGGAAGAACCGCAAACTTTTTTGGCGCTGCAGTCTAATGTACACACATACATATGTAGTACATGTGCTTCAAGCTCAACCATGGAGACGCAGATAATCGCACAGGCCTTCCTACTATAACCATTGCAAAGTCAAGCTGAGCAACTTATGTAGAGGGGCGCTAAAAGTCAAAATGCGAACAGCGCGGAAATATTAGATTGACGAAACAGAGTAGCCGGAGCAACAATGTTTGTGTTTTTTTTTTTGGTATTTCGTCATAGCTCACCCAACTTAGGCATTGAAAGCAGCCTTTTTTCCATTTGGTAAGCCACCAAAAATTGTAGCGATATAAAATTTATGATAATCATTTTTCCAACGCTATAAATGCAATAAAAGCCAATAAGCGCAGTTCACTCGGTTCGGACCCGAAACGTCAACACGCTTTGTCTTCCTTATCTCCAATGCCACTGTGGCACTTTTGCTTGCGTCATTGTTTAACTTTAGCTTCAAAATTGGCTGCATATTTTTTCTTCATCCTATTTTTTTTTTTGTTGTTGAAAATTTTCCACACATTTTGTTACATTTTCTTCTGGCCCATTAAAAGCTTAGCCTTTTACCCAGCCGCTTTGACCGTAGATCGACCCGCATCACTTCGCTTTGATGGCCAAAAACGTGCGTATGCACATCGATGGCGTTGGGAATTTGTTTAAGTGCAGTTGGCGTACTCGCATTTGGGAAAAACGTTTTGGCCATAGCCGAAAGGCGCTTACAGTTGGTTGGCAGGCGTGCTAACAACTTGTTGGTTGGTGGCTACTATTTTATTGCTGCTTCTGGTATTTTATTGAATACATCCATGTATTTATAAAAACAAATGTTGTAGGTGTATGAGTAGGTACATACATACCCATGCAGAAAAAAATTATCAATTGATAAACTACTAGCTAGTTTTTTTTGCGGGATTTCTATAAAATATATAACATGTAGTTAGCTACAAAAAGCTAACTTAAAAACTAGTTGACAAGTAATGCAGGAGTAGTGAAGGAGATTGTTTTCTTTAAGCGCGTTTCTATTTAAATATCTTGCACTTAGCAAATACTTTTTCGAATTGAGGACAAATAAAAGGAAGATCGAAATTTCATACTATCATTTTGTAGTTATGTCTGACGGAGTTCGAATATGAGACCACCTACAGCAGAATATGTAAACAAATATGAAATGTAATAAAATAAATTAAGTAAATAAAAATAAAAAATAAAAAAAATAAAAAAAAATTTTGTTTTTGCTATTGATATTTTATGTCCAAAAGTAGTTAGTTACATCAAATGCAGAGGTAACCACCCTTGACTATTCCGCGGCCATCGCCATAGAAATATAGTTAGCTTTCGTCAAAGAAAATATACAGATAATGAGTGACTTTTAGCTCCTTCCTAATCAACTTAAAGTTAGGTTATAGTTAGATACATTTCCTGCAGGGACATATTTTTGTTATAAAGCCTTAAATGTTAACTATTGCAAGTATTTCGTTTGTGTTTCGTGCTTGTATGTATTTATGTACATACCTTTTACTCTGTCCCGGCAGTCATGGATCAAGGGCAATCACGTTCGATCGTAAAAAGTTATTTACATATAAGGACAACAAATGTTACCAAACATATTGTCCATGTCGTTAGGCGATTTGCGCAATTTTCGTTACGGAAAAACACAACAATGAATGCAATTGATTTCAATGTTTAAGACATGTCGGAATTGGTATTGGGAAAAAAATAAGCCATGGGAAATAGGAATGTGAATCAAACGAGTGAGTATGTATGCATACATATATAGTGTATATATTAATTTTTAGAGTCAAGAAGTAAAAAAAATATTTCCCAAAAAACATTAAATTTTCTTAAATTCTTAAGGCCGTTTCACATTTTTACAAATTTTTTCTTGTAGCCTATTGGTACAAAAAAATACACAAATTGTAGCGAAAACTTGTTTAACAATCACACGCGACTGGTACAGTACAGACAAACACAATAGAAAATTTAATTGACAATTGATCCGTCACATCATGTGTTACTAATTTACACAAAATTTTGGATTATTGCCCATCCGTCAGACTAAGCCTTTAGACTGGGTGGACGTGTTCTTGAAATCAAAGGCACCTCTCTTTCTAGACTAGATCGATGGGGGCGGAAGTATTTTTGCGCAGAACTTTTTTCTGCGTAGGCGCTTAGGGAAGCTCGGCCAAACACTAACACAGAAGTAAGCGCCAATCTACTATTGTTATTAATTCTCAAAAAAAAAACCTCGAATTGAAATGAAGCTACAAATTTGCTAGCTGACTTGGTTCGTTTATAGATACCTAGACATTTGTGTACGCATATACATATGTATATGTACATACCTATATCTATGCATTAAGTATTGTGTGCAACATTTATTGTTCGCCGTACTAATCACAGCAACTTACTTACATATAACTGAATTTTACTTGTACGCATTCTAACTGTTATGAGATTTCGAACAATGACGAAGTAATCCAATTATTTGTAGACTCGTTTCGTAATTTTTATGTCTGTTGCAAATAAAAAAAGCAAAGCAAAGCGATCACAACTACGGATATATTTTGAGCAGTAAAAAAGTTGTGCTTTGCAATAGCAATAAAAAATGTTTACAACAAATGCAGGCTATGTTGAGTATAAGGAAATTGATTTTGGTTTTTCTTTTCGGTTTTTTTTCTTTTTGCTTTTAAAAACAACAAATGTTATAAAGCTATGGTATAATGGGAACTTTAATGCATTATGCTGTAATATGTTTTTATAGCTCGGTATCTTCGAGTACTAAGATTCTATCGATATAAAGTACCCCCTTGGTCTACTTAAACCCTAATTAGGCGGATAAAGCAAATAACTTAAGAAATAAAATTCAACATTGGCTGTTTTTAGGACCCGCAACTCCTCTCATAGTCAGCTTTTAAACTAGGGGGAGGGATACTTGCAATTTTTTTTTTTTTGTTCATGGGAATCAAACCCAGTGTAATAAGTTAAATGTACATATATGGGATTTTGCTAGCTACAAATTTCTGTACTTACATACTTATTTCTATGCAATTTCATTTGAGCAAAACATGTCATAAACTCTCCATTAAAACCTTTTCATTTCATATTTTGTAAAAAAAATTTTCAATATCTAATCAGGAGTGGCCAGCATTACGCCCATTTTCTAAAAATGTATAATATTCTTATTTTTCGCCTAAAGATCATTGTAAATTTCAATTTTGTGCATCATTAGTTACTAAAATATCGCAGTCTTCGTATTTCTGAAAACTACCGTTATTTATCATCCGTCCTACGCTCAAAAGCATAACCTGCATCAAGACAGGGCAGACAGCCACGGCTTAAACGATTTGTTTTTTCATTCCGAGCATTTATTTATGAATACATTTGTCTGTATCTATCTCGATTCGTTTTGGCTGTTACAAACAACCGTTATGTGAACAAAGTTAATATACCCTCGTCCACAAGCGCGCTCGGCTATAAACATAGAGCCACGTTTTGACAATTTTTCAAAAAAGTAAACAAAACCCATCCTTCTCACAGACATTGTATTTTTTATTGAGGTGTAGGGTCTAGATAAGCTTGTAATTTTTCTATTTTCCGACACCCCCTAAGGTATTGGAAAAACATGGTATTAGACAACCAGAATTCAGAAGATCCATACATACGATGCGATTTACTTTTGCTGATCTGTTTGACTCAAATAAATCGAAAGAAAGAATGTGGACAATGTGACCTTTATAACCATGACAAAAAAAAAATGTTAGTAAACAATTGCTTTTACTATTATTTTTGTAACTGAACATTGTGTATGCGTAAACAAATTTCGACTGTCCACATCGAAGGATATCTTTTTAAATGAGTCGTATTGTTTGCTTTGCAGCACCCAGCCTTGTTGCGGATAAAAATTAGCTAATTAATACAATAAACGTATATACATATGTAACTAAATACATACATGCATACATACTTTCGCCTACGTTACGCCCCAGTTTTTCTGACAACACTTTCACTATTTATCATCACGTATTGCTTTCAAGCTTTCAAGTACACAAAGGGATGTATTTATTCCAATTGTTGCCGCTCTATTATCTACCACTGCGCATATATGTATGTATAGTTATACATGATTCACTTGACAAAATAATTAATTATACAATGACTTTATATATAATTAATCTTCGACTGTCATAAAAAAATTTCGTATGTATTAATAATACAATTGTTTCTTTCTTTTTGTATATTTGCAGATGATTAAGATGATGGTCACAGTTGTTATTGTATTCACCATATGTTGGCTGCCTTTCAATGTGCTTGTGGTAAGTTTAGACTTTCATATGCTTATAATCATACATAAATATCAAGTTTTTCATATATGTAAGCTTATTAGCGCAAAATCATATTATTAATAATAAAATTTCAATACATACATTTAGTGCTTATCATAACTATACGACACTCCCATACTTTTTGAAAAGTTTTTGACTATAGATACATTTTTTTTATTATTTAATCTAAGTTCATTTTTAAGTTGGCTCTCGCAAAGACACGAATTTTTAATGGACAAATTAAATGTATATGTAGATTTTAAGTAAAGATTAATATGGGGTCTTAATTAGAGAAATACAAGCAAAATCAACAATTGTTTCTGTATGTCTCTAGGTTATTCCGTTTTCGCTTTAATAAGTGCAGGTTCGAAACTGCTAGGACATGCCGTTCATTGTTGGCAATTTTTTATTTTTATTTTTTTGTTGAAGGTTTCCTTAATTTTTTCCACATTGTATGGAAGAAAATGAGCGACACCGTTAACAAAAAAAAAAAATTCCGAAATCCGGTATTAACAGGTATTTTATAATACTAGAATTTAATGGGCTTTAAATCAGCATACCCAAAAGTTCATTGAAATTTCTCAACAAAAAGTGAAAATTTTTGATGCAATTTTTGTACACAGTTTGAAGCTTGGTTTTTGTTACAGAATGAAATACATATACTATTATAAAAAAATAACAATTAAAATTTAATAAATATTATTAATTAAATAGTGATGATAAGCACTTTGTATAATTTTCCCTCATTTGTTTTCATTTAATTTAATTGTACTCTTTGCAGCTTCTACTCAACGACGATGACTTCAACATGTGGGACCCATTGCCCTACTTTTGGTTTGCTTTCCATTGGCTAGCCATGTCGCACAGCTGCTACAATCCCATCATTTATTGCTACATGAATGCTCGCTTTCGTGGTGGATTCCTGCAGATTATTTATCGTGTGCCAGGTTTGCGTCGATGTTGTTGCCTGCGCCGTTATTTGCATAATCGTGGCGATCGAAATTATGATGCTACCGGTGAGATGACCTTCAAATTCAATGCTGATAATGGTGGAGGTCTGTTGAGGAAACCTAAAATACGCATTAGGTGCCACCAAACTCTGGTTTCTTCTCTTCTATCTTGACATCCTATATAGCTGTTTTGTTTTTTTACCCTTTCTTTTTGTTAGTGTAATGCTTTTTGTCATTGCTTTACCCTTTCTTTTGTTGACTAGAGCTAGTTAGTTATATGTATGTACGTGTGCATGTTAGCATATCATAATGCATGTTCTCTAGCATGTTGTCATATATACATAGTATGCAAAAAGTATACCGTTATAATTGTAGTTACTGAAGTTCCTTTGTGAGGATATCGCTTTCAATTATACTGTGAAACGTCGATGTGGCAAAGTTGTAGGCACTATGGGCCAGCAGCCCATAAAAAGTGGCGAAAATATGAAGCCATTGATCGATTTCAATGAGATTGTGTACAACGGGGTTTTTGGGCTCGCTGGTTAGGAATCTGAAGTCGTATTTAGAAAATTCAAAATGGCGAATGACTTAAAAAAATAGATATATATTAAATTTTTATGAAACCGTCTACAGAGGGGTCTATGGTGGGCCTATGGGGCAGCTGATTACGAATTTGAAGCCTGATTTGGAATTTTCAAAATAGTGTCGCCAATATAGCGGATGACTTTTAAAATTGTGGGGCAGCTGATTAAAGAATAAGACATATGCAAGACTTAAAAAATATACACACAAAAAAAATAATAATAAAAAAGTTTCCAGGTATATAAAAATTTAAGAAATTACAAAAAAAATATATTAAAGTGGATACCACATTTGTCGTAGGCTAATTTAAGGCGTTACCGTACAAATTTGGATTCGTTATAGATCCCATAAAAAAACTTCCTTACATCACGCACTATAAACACTTAATATTTTGTTCAATACATTCCACTGCCATATATGATCAATTTTCCAAAATGTTTCCAGTAATAAAAAATTTAATAAATGGTTTTTCTTGATCATAGCATTAATGCGGTTAGAAGAAACTATGGTGCAATGAGGTTTGTTATTTAATTTGGGAAAAATACTATACGGTTTTAACTCACAGAGGATCTTCTTTGTTTCTTTTTCTCTTTAACGTGTCAAAAGATTCAATGACATACTTTATGATGTGTTTATTTGCCACAGATACGGCAGCAAGCCTTTTTTATTTCCATCTGTTATTATCACATTCTTTTTGGGGGAGAATGAGGTGTCACCATCACCTGATTAGTCTCTTAATGAGATTCAAAAGTCCCGCTACTTTACTCGGAGAAGGAACCATCTTGAATGAACACAACTTAGTGCTTAAGGTTTTAAGGTTTTTTGTTCCAGCCTATATGCAGCGATAGTGCTCATAGTCTTCTTTATCCGCCCTCGCTCTGCCGGAGACCCCGGTTGAAACCAGAGCAGACGTGACGCCACAAAGGCCTTTGCCTTCGTGGCTACTTAATTTTGCACTTCCCCCAAGCAGGTTTTGGAGTCCTGCATTCCACTGATTTTCAACGTCCGTGGACAGTAATCCCTTGGGAGACGCAGCAGTATGGAATTTGACGGTATACATGCAGAAGAATTTCTCCTGCCTGCGTTTCGCTATTTTTAGGTGTATTTTGAACAAATTCCGCTTAGAAATAAACAAATAGGAGGAACATTCTGCTTTTTACGATGCCGGTAACCGATACTAAAAACTCGAATTCACGAAACTGGTAACCGGTATATGAAAACCGATTTCATTTTTAAATTGCCATAATAAAAATATAGGCGCGACCACTTCGATTTTCTAAAAAACTGTTAACCGGTACTAAAACCCGGGTTTTTCGAAATTGGTAACCGGTACAAAAACCCGATTTCCTATTTGAAATCACCGTTAAGTAGTACTTGTAGGGGTAAAGTTTTAACAAATTACGACCACTACTTGGACTTTTCGACAGCGATGCGGTAATTGTCAATACATTTTAATTAATTAAAAATATTGCCTGTCACATTGAAAGTTAAGACATTTCATTACTTTGATCAAAATATTTTTGTGAACAGCATGTCACTCTTTTATCCTATGCAGAATTTTTTCCACCTTAAATCATGGTAGAAAAAGAAGGTAGTTTCACTTATTGACTTCAGCAGCCGTGTTAGCCATCTGAGTTTTGCTGAGATTACGACATTTTCATCAAAATCAAGCTACCAGATCGGAAATTATAATAACATTCTTTTCTGAAAAGATTTTGATCGGCAAAGGAAAAAATTAAATATTTAAAAGCAAAATGCGCATTTGAAAGCTGCGAAAATACCAGATACCACTGCAAGGAGGACGGTATAAAATTTTTTCAATTACCACCGCTTCCTTTTGTGAGACCAAAATGGCTTGAAGACTGCGGCTTATATGTTCTAAACATTTTGCTACCACGGATATTACCATTAATTAAATACTAGTTATTGTTATTGCAAATAAACGATGAGTTGCTGAGCCAATGGGCCTCATGCATAAAAAGTGAGCTTAAGCTCCGACTCGATTTTCAGTACAAATTCTTGAGCTTGAGCTCACCCTTTCAGTGCAAAAATTGAGTCTGAGCTTAAGCTCACTTTTTATGCATAAGGCCCATGGAGTTTGATGGGCTGGAAAATTTTGCAGGTTACCTTGTGTCGAAAATGGGTCTGGCGCAATTCGGTTTCAGGACGAGTGTAGGGAAAGCTAGTAATTATACATTCGTTAATTGCATATCTGAAAGGAGGTATTTATAAACCAAGTGCTGATTTTTTGAATATTTTGGAGCATTTGAACTCGAAATTTATTGAAAATAATGGTGAAAAATTAACAAGTCCAAATTTAAAAAGACATATCGATGGCTGAGTGGAAGATCGACCTATCTCGGCTGCCAGTTCGAAAAACGCTCTATCTCAAAAAACTTTTCAAGAACGCCCTATTTCAGAATTTTATTGAAAAACACCCTATCTCAAAATTCGGTTCAAAAACGCCCTATCTTACTTCAAAATGTATTGAAAATATGCTGATATAGGGCGTTTTTGAATCGGCAGCTGAGATAGGGCGTTTTTGAAATGAATTCTGAAATAGGGCGCTCTTGAAAAGTTTTTTGAGATAGAGCGTTTTCGAACTGGCTGCCGAGATAGGTCGATCTTCCACTCAGCCATCGATATATTGTACAATCCAAATGTTACTATCGAGGAATGAATTGTAAAAGGTTTTGTTTTTTTGGGAAGGAAATGCCATGATTCATAGTATTTCGAAGTAAAATTGCATTCTTTATACGTAGATATTTTCAATACATATGTATATTATGTACCAGACTTGTATAGTTTCATCTAAGAAGACTAAATTATTTACACCCATTTACTGTGAAAGACATTCCCATCTCGAAATTCGTTAATTTATGAAACATGAAAAAATTATGAAGCTTGAAAAATCTCAGTAGCCGTCAAAAAGTTGTTTATTGAAACAACCTTCTTTTTTATCATGCCTTAAATGCTATATTGATTGGCCTAATCAGCGCTTGTCTTTGGCTTCGAAATAAAATTTAGCAATAGACACTCGTGTACATTAACGTTTATTAGCCAAGTGGATATTTTATGTATTTAATCAATTCGAAGAAAGGTCTTGTTACTAGCTGAGTGAATGTAATTATTATAATTATTTCCAGCTAAATTAATTTTGTGATGATTAAAAAAATCTGACACACGTAAACTTAATTTTGGGTGGTGGATAATAATCTGTATATAACAATAAATAAAATAGAAAATCTTTTTAATATACCAGGCTTTTATAAATGGACTAATAATTATAAAATAATGTTTCTCAGATCCATAAAATTTGTTTTGATAACTTTTGATCTTGAAATTTGAAAAAGTTTTTTTTTTATTTTATTTATTTTATACTTTTTAGTCTTGTCTGTATAAAATTTTGCAATAGGTATTAAATTAATTCAACTTGCAGTGAAAAGAGAACAGAAGTTTATACAAGCAAAATGTTTTGTGTTTACGTTGATTATATACATACATACATTCATATAGCAGCGGGGCGACATCTAGAGTCTTATAATTGTATGTCTTTGATATGATACGTATGACGAGGTTGATATCTTGACTTTGCCATAAATACCTTTGCTATATTTATAGTATAAATGGTGGTCTGGACATACAACATTGCAAGTTGATAAAAGCGTTGTAATCGTAAATTCTTTTAACTAACGCAAAAGAATGCAAAAACATCAAGCTATCAGCGTAGGAAATTGATTGATAATTTCCACACAAATATACAACGATATTATTAATTGATAATACATGGCGTATGAGTGACATTCTTTCAAGTCATATTTCATAGAAAAGAAATTACTACGCATTCTCATTTGACCATTTACAACTTGAAATATGTATCAATCAATTTTCTTCGTCGATAGCCTGATGATTTTTAATTTAATAAAAAACCTTTTATTTTAAAATTGTTTCCTGTTAAAGTTTGCATTTTTTATTCACAATGCAAACCGCAGGACCGTAATCTATGGCCCAAAATTAAGTTCAGGTGTTTCGGCGTTTTTTTTTTTTGAGTAATTTCGAAATTTGAAATTTTCCTTACAGTGTAATTGGAAGAAGTACAAAATAGAGACATTCTTTCAAAGAAATTTGTGTGTGCAAATTAACTACTATGAAATAATTATCAAATGTTTTTTTTTAATACCTATCTTTCAATCAAAATTCTTTGGTGTTGTGCTAGATACTTATAAAGTATTGCGTTGAAAGCGCTTATAAAATTGATAATTCTACTAATTTCATTACAGTTTTTGCTTGGTTAATACATTTTCTTACACACCCCGCACATATGCGTGATGTTGCGCTTAACTTAACAAAAAACTATTT